AGAGAGTCCCAGTCTCTGACCAGCAATTCAATGCCTCATGCAGGAAGTAATAAATGGCACAGCTTGTTGGCCAAACAAGTCACATGACCCCTACCTAATTGCAAGAGGACCAAAAAGGCTCATTCTCCCATGAACTCAGATGAAGACAATCAGGTATGGGTGATTGCTAAAGATCTACATATAATATCTTATCTGTATTTGGTCCTTCTCGTTTATATAGCACCTGCATACATTTTAAATAATTGTTTTTTTAAAGAGATAGTCTTTCTCTTTTTAAATAAATGTTAACACTCCTCACAGATACCTCTATTTTCCTTTTCTCATCCCTTTGAGATTTCCATTGGCGTGTTAATACTTGTTCCTACAAAGTATCAGATAAGTCAGTTGAGACAAGAGAGTTTATGCCAGTGAGAATATTTTGATGTTTACCATTGCTCTCAAAAATATATTTTAGTATACTCTACCACCATGAACTATAACCCAAAAGACCATTTCATGAGCTTTAAATTAAAACCAAATAAAATGAGGCTCTGAAGCAATAAATATGTTTCAATAGTTGACTAAATTAGAAAGAGTTTGAACTGGAACCATCTGAAATCTCACCCAGCTCTTGTTTACCACTCAAAGCTATGCTAAAATGCAAAAGGGAACATCAGTTCCATTTTATGGGGAAATTAAACCACAAAGATTTTAAGTAACTTGCCCAGGATCACACAGCTGTTTAGTAGCAGAACCAGAATTCAGACCAGGTATCCTGGCTGAACTTTAACCACCATGTTACACAGCTTCATGTGCCAAAAAAAAAAAAAAAAAAAAAACAATCCAGTATTGCTTTCTGTTAAAGAAGACATCAAAGAACATGAGTCTGGACAGGCAGACAGAACAGATTTGTTGAAGGGTCTTTTGTGCCAGGCTATGAAGATTTGATTAATACTCCAAACCAAGTCCCAACAAACTTTTTCTGTAAAGGGCCAGGCAGTAAATATTTTAGGTTTTACAGGTCCTATAATCTCTTTCACAACTACTCAACTCAGCCTTTGCATTAAAGAAGCCATAACAACATGTAAATGAATGAAAGTAGCTGTATTCCGATAAAACTGGACAGTAGGCTAGATTCGGCTCACAGACCATGGTTCTCTCTGCTCTAAGCAATAAGGGTCTTTAAAGAACTCTGACATGATCAAACTGGTGGCAGATAGTGGTGTTTGGGTGTATGGCTGGTGAAGGGTGAGAACAGAAACAGAAAAACAGTCCATATAAGAAGTAATGGTTGCCCAAATGGAGGCTGTAGTAGTAAAGAAGTAGAAGCGGGCATGGCCAAGGAGTGTCTGGTGCTGGTGCAACTGATGAGTTTGTCCTTCAGTTGGCTGTGTGAGTTGAAGGAGGGGAATAAATCCAGGAGGACTGCAGGTGCACAGTATTACCAGGCACCTGTTAGGGAATATAAGAGAGAAAGTAAGGTGAAGAGAGTGGAAGGGGAAATACATACTTTGGGATGGAGCAAGTTTAAGATGTCTGGGTTGACCTGATGTAGATGCCCATTAGAAACTTGAGTCCATATATCTGGAGCATGGAAGAGAAGAGAAGTCTAGGTGGGAGATACAAGTTCAGAGTCAACAGCATAAAGAGGGATTGTAAACTGTTGGAGTTTTGGGGAGAGCCCCAGAACTAAAGAAGAGAAAGAGAGTGATGAGAGATTTATGTTATCAATATTTACATAAATTTCAATATTTAGGAAAGAAAATTTTAGAAAGACCAAGAAAAGGCACAAGGAGCTCAAGGAAGAAACAAAATGAGGAGGGAAAATTTAAGAGGAATGGGAAGATCAGCAGTGTTAAACATTGCAGGGAAAATCAAGTAAGGCGACTGAGAAGGGTCCATGGAGATCGACCCCTACAGGGTCATTGGTGACATTAGAAAGAAGAGCCATATCCGATTGGAAAAAAAGACTGTCAACTTTGATCAACTGAAGCCAAAGAGGGAGACAGTCAAAGGTGATAAGGCTGTATGTCTTCCAATCCAAAGAAGGGACTATAGATGCTCAGGTGAGAAGGGTTTGCACATGTTTATGTGATGGAAAGAACCACACAAGAAACAGAGAGAAATAGTTTGAAGATACAGGAAAGAAAGAGAGAGAAACCAATGGAAAGATTCCTGAGAAGTGTGAGCCGGTGTAATCTAGAGCACAAGGAAATGGGATTGCTTCGGGTCTGAGGAGGCAGTAGAGTAGAAATGCTTAGGCACGCACAGAAACAGATGCTGTGAAGTGGAGTAGAATGATGAGGAGTTCAAAGCTGATGAGCTTCTACTTCACCTGTGAATAAGAAGTGGCGTCTTAGGTGCCTCTATATCTGAAAACCCAAGAAAGGTAGTAGGCAGGGTTAATTCAGTGTCAAAGAAACCACCAACCAATAGTACCTAGAAGTTACAAAATCCAAATATTTTTGGTAAAAATTTGTGGGTACAGAAAGGGCAGCTGCACTATCTTTATAAAAGTTTAGGTAAGGCTCCTTTATAATAGCCCCAATAGCCATTTGTGCTCCTTGACATGTGGCTGGCGGGTCCTTCACTACACGTTTCTACGGTGCGTGAGATTCCATCAATAGGTTGTGTTTCTGTGGGGTAGACATCTTAAGGATAAGGATTCACAGTTTAGAGGGATTAGTTAACAACTAGCAGATGGCAAAAAGGGCAGGCTGAGTTTGAGGGTGGCTAGGAATCAAAAGAAAGTGAACTGTACTGAAGTCCAAGTTCACTGCCTTCATGTGAAGATGTGTGCTGGCCTCAAGCACAGTGCTGTGGTCATGTGTCTGTGCAACAACCCCCAAAAAAGCATGCATCCTTTTCAACTATATGATGCCTGTCAAAGCCAAATTCATGAAAGGGAAAAGTAAATACACCTTGGCTTTACTATATGTTATTTACGCAAAGACGTTTTCAACAATATCCTGCAAAATAATACAACTGTGGAAGGAGAGATTTATCTCTATGGGCACAGCAGTGCTGGAAGACACAGTGCAATCGTTTTTAAAGATTAGGAGGATAGGACAGGCTTGAGAGGAAGAACATTCACATCAGGAATCTGCTTTAATGGTGGAGTTTCTGGGAAGGAGCATTCTGATTATGCGGTGATGAGATGGTAAGATGCAGCAGAGGCCTCACATACAAAACACCTAGGTTGACTAAAAGTGTGGAGTTGCCCTGATGCAACACTTCACCTAATCAGAAGTGCAGATGGGGAACAATGGACCATCTTGAAATAAAGAATCCTGGCAGAGATTCAGACCTTTCATGCCTGATCCCTCAGACACCCTAGAATAGACACAATGACTGAGGGCAAGTTGCAACAGGCCAGCAGAGAGGTAGCTCAAAGAAATTTTTCTTCCTTTCTTCCTTCCTGCACCCCAGGTAGATTCCACTCATCTTTGACCCAGTTCCAATGTCAGCCCCTTGTAAAGGTTTCCCTGGTCCTCCTCCAACCCCTCAAGAGAATTCAATGAGCCTGCCTTTGTGCTTCCGTTAAATGACATTTCTGCTGGGAGCTCAGCAGTTCATGCTAGTAGGTTGTGAAGAAGTCCTCCTTCCTCAATGGATGCCCAACCCTGCAAAGACAGGCCTGTGCCTCCTTATTCAGCCTCCTTCCCTCAGCCCCTAATTCCTAGAAAAAAATGTAACAAATGTGTGTTGAATTGAAATACATATGGGAATTTAGCACATTGAGAATGTTTTTGAAACTTCAATTTCTTGGCCAATTACACATAAAATTAGGAAAGTGGCTGAATGACAAATATTAAACTCTGAATCCTCTTCAAAAGGTATAATAATGGGTGAAGCAGAAGGAATCTTTATTCTCTCCCTCTAAAAATGTAATTATGGAGCGAGAAATGACTAGAAGAATCATGTGCTCCATTCCCCTCTGCCTCCAGGTAGGTTATATTACATTATCGCAGACAGACGAAAATCTATTCTTTTTTTATTTCAAAAACAGAGATAATAATTCTACCATTCTAGTATAAAAAAGTGCCTCAGCAAAGCACTCCATTCTGACTGCTTCTCTAAAGCCCACATGGTACATTTTAAGTTGGGATAGAGCTAGCTAGATAAGATTTGTTTTGTTATAACTTTATAAATTGTATGTAGATATATCTACGTGTAATATGTATGTAATAGATATATAATATAGATACATATTTTGTATGTGTGTTTATATGTATGTATAGAGAGAATTTGTTCTATTTTTTTTTTAAGTTCCAGGATACATGTGCAGAACGTGCAGGTTTGTTACATAGGTAAACATTTGCCATGGTGGTTTGATGCACCTATCAACCTGTCATGGTTCTATTTAAATTTGAAACTTTCTTTTGTTATAATTTTATAAATTATAATATATATTTATATATAATATAGATATATAATACAAAATTATATTTTATATGTGTGTGTGTGTGTGTGTGTGTGTGTGTATGGGGATATGGGGAGACACAGGGTTGACTTTACTTAAATTTGAAATCTCTGAAATGCTTAAGTAAGGAATTTCTTTACCTGAAGTATCAAACTCTAGGAATTTCTAGTCTTGACCAAACCAGACTTTAGACATGGAATATGCTGGTAAAAAGATACACTAAGATGGCTCTTCAAGTCACTGTATATACAGTAGCCATTTCTAACTCACTCTTCCCTGTGTCTGAGGTTTTAGGATGTGGGAACATATACATTTATTCTTTTTGTTGTCATGAGGATTTTAGATCTGAATTTTTAGTCATCAGTAATCATTCCTATTAGCAAGTAGAGGAAAAGAACTGAAGGTTGGGTGGTGAACAGCATAGTGAAGTATGGATTGAGGTTGTTGCAGGGAAATCTTGAGCGATTCAGGGAACCGAGGAAAGGCCAACAAGACAGCCCTGCATCACTGGATGACAGGGAGTTCAGGTGGGACACCATCGGGAAGCCCAGGCCAGTTCCAGCCTGGGAACCTGGAGGGCTCTCTGTGGACCACCCACCTAGTTACTCCGAGGAGGTTATGCACAGGTTCTCAGTGTCTCTTCCATGTCTTTATTTCTGGGACTACAGTCACATTTCAGGAATGGACTTTCACAACTTGGAGTGAAAACAAATCAGAGAGGGATTGGATATTTGGAAAGAGGACAAAAAGGAAAACAAAATGTTTACTAGGATAAAATGCAGCATAATAGATTTAAAAGTAGTTTCCAGGGTCAGTTGGGTTCAGATCCAGTTCTGCCATTTATGTGTGAATTGGACAAGTCATTTTTGCTTTTGTCATTTATAAAGTGGGTACCAAGTTATCTTTCTTGCAGAGTCTTATGAAGATTTAATAAAATATATCTGGAATATAGTCTGTGCTCAATTAGTGGCAGTTATATTATTTGTAACAAAGAAAAACACATTTATCTTATTAAAACTAAGAAGGAGACAGATCCTGAAGGAGATAAATAATAAGTAACCTAACTATTAGAACATAACTACTGAATAGCAATATGTAAAATAGCTTTGTACTTAATGTGTTTCACTGTTATATTTCAGTAGATGTGAAAAATTAGATTTAAGGTTTTCCTTAACTTTACTTGCTTCCCTCTCTATAAAGTCTTCTCTGCCTCACATGTGACTTTTACAGTGAGGGTGTATTCAACACAGTAGTACCCACCCAGATCCGCTCTAGTGAGACTCAATGCCCATTCCCCCAGCTGCAAAGCATTGGCATGTTCACAGGTAAGGGCTCCCAACTGAGTCCCTCCCTAGGAGAGAGCTGCCCTCAGCCAAAGAGAGGTGACTCGCCTAAGATCATCCTCCTCCCTAGGGCAACCCACCCCAGCACTGTTTGATAGTGGGTTACCAAGACCCAGCCCCTGGCCTCCACTGGGGACAACTCTGAAGGGTTTCCCAGGGGGCCAGCGGAGGCTCTTGCTGCACCAGGATCTGTTCTCTCTGCCCCATCCTGCTTCCTTTATTCACACAGGGGCTGACCACTTCCCAATCTCCATCTCATAGTCTATTTCTCAGGACCTAACCTGCAACAGAGGGTTTTAGAAAAATATATGTTGCCATTGGTGAAGGCAGGCTAGGACTCCACAGAGAAAAGAGAGAAGAATTTGGGGAGGGAATGAGTGTCCAACATGCTGCTGAGGCTAGTGATTATATCAGAAAATGTCTTGGAGGGAGTTTGAGACCAGCTTGGGCAACAAAGCAAAACCTTGTTTCTACATATATACATACGTACATACACACGTACACACATACATACAAATTAGCTTGATGTAGTGGTGCGAGCCTGTACTGCCAGCTACCCAGGAGGCTGAGAGGCAGGAGGATTGCTTCCGCTGAGGAGTTCAGGTCTGCAGTGAGCTATGATTGAGCTATGGTTGTGGGCAACAGAGCAAGACCCTCTAAAGAGTCTTTAAAAAAAAAAAAAAAAAAGAAAAGAAAGAGTTTTGCTTTTTAAAGAATGAAAACGCCCTGAAGGAACTGGGAAGCTGCTGGGAGAAGTGTGAGGATGAGATATGGAGTGGCTTGGCATGGACATGGAAAATCCCAGAATCAGGAAAAGACCACAAAATATGGCAACTCCACAGCAGAAACGCATACTGAAAGAACAAGTCCCCAGAGGCAGCCCCACCTGGCTCCTCCATGTTGATGGGAAGAAATGCTGCCCTTACACGGGCCATCACTGTTCTAACACCCTATTTAACTAATACTTTCTTCTTTCCAAGTTTGTCCTCAACTCTAAAGTAGAAATCAAAGAGAAGGCAGAACAAAATTGTCTTTACAGGCTTTTTCCCCCTGGGCCAAAGCAATTCCATAACAACAATACTTACTTTCTTGTTGGCTTTCTCTTCTCCAGACAAGAAAAGCTGTTTGTTTTGAACTCTACAGCTTGTCAAACCGCTCATTTTATTCCAAACTTTCACATTGTAGCAATTACTTATGAGGCGTTTATAAACTCTACAAACTCTGGCTTACATCTTAAAGAGTGTAAATGTGCTGTGCCACCAGTTCTGTGCTATTTAAAAGGGCAGATTTTACACTTTATTGTGAAACTACTTGCCAGGTGTGCTGTAAACATGAGTGTCTGAGAGTTTCCTGGCTAGGCCTTCATAATTTGAGGTTTATTGAGCATTTTATTATTTCTAGTTAATAGTAGTGTTGTGTTTCCAGTTGTGCTTAGAGCTGGTAGTGAGTTCGATAAACCCAGGTTATTTCTGCTAGAAGTTGATGAACAGGTCCCACCTGGCAGTTCTAGGGTTATTTCTGTGAAAAATTCGAATGAAGGCTTTTCTTTCTCCCTTTGCAAGAGGTGGGATATGTTTTTCCTCCTTCTCCTCGCTCCATCACAAGGGCTTTTAAGTTATTAAGAAATCATCAGCATGTGTATTATTCAACAGCTGTGACAGATCATTCTCCCATCAATTAATGTCACTGGAGGGAATATTAGAAACCACTGGGGGTTGGAAAGGGAGGAAAAGGACTCCTCTTGGAACCACTGCTATCCGTGTCTGGAGGGCAGGTCAGAGCCACCACATAGACCCTCCCCTCCCTCTCTCCAGGGTTCAGGGTGGAGCTATGAGGGCTTCACCTCAGTCTGGAGCCTGGAGATGGGTGCAACTGGCTTGTGCTCCGTCTCAGGTATTTCCAGCTTAGACCTGGCTCCTGCTCCTTGCACCAGCCGCAGTCAGAAAAAGTAGATGAGACAGTTGGCCATTCACTAGCAAGTCCACACCCGCTGAAATGGTGGGCGAGCGTGTGTATTTCTTTGTTAGGGTTGCTAAAACAAAGTACCACAGACTGGGTAGCTTCAACAACAGACATTTCTCCTCTCACCATTCTAGAGGCCAGAAGGGTCATGCTCCCTCTGAAGGTTCTTGGGGAGGGTCTGCTCCACCCCTCTGCCCTGGCTTCTAGAAGCCCTGGCTTGTAAATGGCCATCTTCTTCTACCTCTGTTTCTTCACCTTGTTATTCCTCTGTGTCCAAATTTCTCCTTTTAAGAAGGACACGGAGTTATACTAGTAACCACACTGACAACCTAGTTTTAAGTAACCACACTGATAACCTAGTTTTAAGTTGCTAAGCCCTGTCAAGACCCTATCTCCAAACAAAGTCTCATTCTGAGATATTAGGGGTTAACACTTCAACGTACCTTTTTGAGGAGAAACAATTCAACCCATAGTAGCAGGCAATGTTCTGGCTCTGATAGTTGGATGCTTGGCTTTCCATGAAGAAAATTCTTTCAAAATTTAGATAAAGCCAAGAGATTCTTCAAACAGAGCCTAGCAGAGTGATTAATTAGGATCTAAGTATATAGCCCTGGGGCCAGACAAAGCTGCCTGCAAATTACAGCTCCCAGGATGCCTGGCCAGGCTGCCTTTCTAAGCCTCAGCTTCATCACCTGCAAACTGGGTTGAATAATGGTTTACATTTTCAGAGGATTGTTGTAAAGATGAAGTGAGAATACTATAAGGAAAACAGTAGGTACTAACGTTTAGGCACATGTTCTAGGTTCAATAACCCTATTAGCTATTTTCAAATATCTAGATTTCTCCTTCCCTATAGTATTGGTCTGTTCTCATGCTGCTATGAAGAAATATCCAAGACTAGGTAATTTATAGAGAAAAGAGATTTAATTGACTCACAGTGCCACATGGCTAGGGCAGCCTCAGGAAACTTACAATCATGGTGGAAGGCACCTCTTCCAAGGACAGCAAGAGAGAGAATGAGTGGCAGTGGGGGAAATGCCAGACACTTATAAAACCATCAGATCTTGTGAGAACTCACTCACTATCATGAGAACAGCATGGGGGAAACTGCCCCCATAATTCAATTACCTCCCATTGGGTCCCTCCCATGACACATGGGGATTATGGGGATTATAATTCAAGATGAGATTTGGGTGGGGACACAACCAAACCATATCACCTACAAAACGAAAAAAACTCCTCAGAGCACAGCTTGTGGGTGTTACTTAAAGCATTGTGGAAAAACCCAAAGATTTATTTAGGGATAGTCCCAGCTATCGACAGAGGCAGAACAAACAAAGGCAAGCAAATCAGTAGATTTAGAGCTTACCTTCCAGCCAGTCTAGAAATCTATTGTTTCTAAGTTCTTCCATGTTTGTATTTTCCAAACAGAGTCATGTCTTTTTCTCTTTTTTAAGAAAAAAACAACAACAACGAAATTCATTGGCTGAGTCAATAGACACCGTGGGTCATGGAAGCAAATTACAAAGCCAGTACAATGGATTTGAGAAATTGCTAATGTAATCAGATTTTGAACAAACTTTGGAAATAGTCCCTATTTCACAGCACCAAGGGTATTTTTCTAAACTGTTCATTGCTTTCAACAATCCCATTATAAAACCAACTAAAAGTAAGAAAAGCAAATTCAGCCGCAACTTATCTTGTCAAAACAAAGAAACCTTCCTCACTAGGAAGCGGGTTTTCAGAGAAATATTCAATACCGAATAATCCTATTTGAATTTTGCCACTCATAGAAGTTTAGAAAGAGGGACTTATGAGAGAAATTGCAGCAGGGCAGGGAATAGACAGTGCAAGAGAGATACACAAAAAGCCTTTATTGCTTTCTATATAAGTAAGCAAAAAAGATATCTGGATCGTTCATTGTAGGAAATGAAAATTATGAGACCCCACATCTTTACCTCTCAATATAATATTGAACCTGTTATAATAAAATGCTACTAAATTCTTTACTTGCCCCACCACTAAAAGATGCATGCTGGACTTAACACCTAGGTGATGGATTGACAGGTGCAGCAAATCACCATGGCACACATTTACCTATTTAACAAACCTGTGCATCCCGCACATGTACCCCCAAAATTAAAATAAAATTTTAAAATACAGTAAAGTATCTAGCACAGGGTAGATAATCAATGCAAATTTTTTATCTGCTTTCACAGGTAAGATGATCCATATGTCCTAGTTGCCCTGGAAAGTCCCAATTTATACTTGTCACCTTAACAAAAATATTTATAATGCCCACTTTCACTCTTAAAAATGTCCCAGTTTGGACAATACATTGTATGGTCCACCTTTTTGATATGTGACCTAGAGAGGCTGCAAATACCCCACCATTTAGGTTTCTTTTTATTTTTGAAAATGACACCTGATCTTGCCTTTGGGATTTTATTTTCTTTGGAGACTTATTTTCTTTAATATTAAATATAAGCATTTTTTCCTTATGTGATCTTAGGCTTATTTCTGTAGGAGCTTTCTTTCCCTTTATTCTTATAAATTAAGTTTTTCTGAACAGATTTATCAATTGACAATTTTTTTGAGTATCTACTATATGCAAAATAATTTAATATTCAATACAGGCAGTATTCTGAAACATACTTGAAAGATCTCATTCCATTGAAAAATATATTCTTCCTGTGCACACTAAGTTACTTTTGTGAGCCTTTTTGAT